TCGCCTGAGACGTGGACAGCAGAACACTGACATGTCTACTAACAACACTTCAGGCGGCCGTAAAGACTTATCAGAGGTGGCCTTGACCTCGGCCGACGCTCATAGAGCCATTTACGCATCTTATTCACTGGTTCGAAATATAGCTGGTCTTAGGCTACTTCCACGCCTTCCTGGGCTGGTCCGTAGCGTGACGTTCATCTCGAATAATTTAGATCAGGTCACCAGTACTGAGGATCTCTCTTACGTATCCCCTCCACTGCTTCGGAACCAGTGTACAGGAAGGTTTTGTACAGGCCCAGTCAAGGACGCATCGCCGAACGCTGAGCATCACGTCTTTTTAACTCGAGCTGAATGTATATTGTATGTGGCTGGCTCGCCTTCTGTGTGCAAGCTTGCCGGAGTAATGCAAAACATAGGTATGTCCGTAAACATTTACCCATTACAAAAAACACGGACTTTAAGATGCTGCGGTGAGCTACGTTCTGTTATGGATCAAAGACGTTTCCTCGGCCAGCCACGTCGGCTTGCACCTCATAGGCGTTTATTCCATGTGGATTTCAGCATGCCTTCGGCCGATGCATGGCATTGCTGTGGGTAGGGTGACAGTCAAACTATGCAGTTACTCTTACTTTTTATCTTACTCATTAATTACACGCTGTTTAATATTGACATTAATATTCGAAGTCAAGGTAACTGCAGCGGCGCAAAGCTGACATTAATGTCGATTCGATCTGGCTGATAAGACATGACACATGCCTTTAGCACGGCTCCAAAGCGGCAAAGTGACGGTTCCTGCTGGCGTGCGAATAATGGACCGCAAACAAACACGGACGCTAGAAAGCAAAATTGTGCAGTCCAAGACAACGGGAACAAACGCGTATATTCTCGCACGTTATTCCGAGGCTTGTAACCGCTGCTCTCCCATGGCACGGCTCTCTTCCAGACCAGTAACTTATCGCCAGATGTTGGTGGACCCCGGTGCTTCCATACATAATCCTGTCGTGCCCAAGTTTTGCCTACATAATGAAATTTGCTGACTGCACGCTCATCAAACCGCCATCACGCCACCACCCCGGATTACCTGTAAAACAAAATGAGCCCACTAAATAAAAAGTGAATGTCGTGAACAGGGGCAGCACGGTGGTAAATATTATTGCCGCCATTAACACCTGGGCCATTAGATGATTTGCAATTTTATAATCCATCATATATCCCTTACGCGCGCGACGTTCATTTATAGCGCATTATCCACCCAAGCGAAAACAAAGTTACCCAGATGCCTTGGGTTGATCACCATGGTAACCGGGAGATAACGGGGCTTAGAGCTGAGACGACACCACTTCCTGTGACCAATCACAGGATTATTCGTCATGCTTTAGACACGGGAGCGCAACCCTCTGGTGCAGCCTTTCCTAAATGAAATGACTCCTTTACTGGAAATTTCCACCATGTGGAAATTTAAATCCCACGGGCCCCAATCATTATCCAGTCATAGAGAGGTCAGATCCAGCGTTAGCCGACTTTTTGGGGGCGCAACGTTGAGTGTCGCACAACAGCACAAATCACGGCAGGACTAACCGCAGTAGCAGCCGACAGCAGAAATCGATGCCGCTGGACTGGCAGTGTTAGCGCATTGTTTTCATAACAACCAATCCGACGGGGGTCAGTCGTCCTCATAATCTAAGGACGATTTTTCATAGTTCGTACTAATAGCTGGAAGTTAATATCGTGGGTTGTTTTGCCTTCATGATAATAGGCTAAAATAAATCGAGACCTCCATGCAAACATCAGAGCTCACATTAACGCCACCTATACTGGTAGTAAGGCACTGCCAGTGCACGCCGAAACCTAATTAGACCACTTGATGGAACATTTTGGTGTATCGTTATTGTTACCATCGGCGGCTTTATACGTGGCCGAAGTGCATTTTCCTAATGAAGTTTACAATTCAGATGAACAATTATTTATACTTATATATTTTCATATTTATCATTGTTCGCATTTATATTATTTACATTTATATATTATACAATAATGCATATCATCTTATATCAGATGAACAATAACGATGAACAATTCAGCCTGTCAGATGAGCATAATTTATCTGCAAAGCTGTTGCACAATGCCGACTTTCACAGCCGGAATGTGACAAACAAAAAATCACACACAACAGCAATATTAAACTACCGACAATAAACTCGAACCGCTATACGTAGCTTTGTCAATATGTTTTGCGCGACCCTGTGTGGATGCTGGCATGAATTGGCTCTCATGTCAGCAAACTCCGGGTGTAAATTTAGAAGTCACTCATGAACTCCAATTTCTGAAGAGTCCACGCTGTTGTCCATCGGCAGGTTCACCATTTGGACCCCGGAGGGCAGGCGAAGAATCGTTTCTGGATGGTGTCAAGTGCAACACAAACACTCAAAACTCGCATCAAATCGAAGTTCACACAGGCCTAAATTGATGCGGAACAATCAACCGCGCAACTGAATTATCTCCCGCCCAGGCGTCTCGTCAGTGTATCGGAAAACAAACAAAAATACGCATAAACAAACATCTGCACCTGAACATATACCTAGTCATCAATGATCATATCCCTACACACACATGGGCACGCATGCGCACGGACGGGCACGAGCAGAATGTCATCTCAAATCGCATTTGCATGCCGTTCTGTCTTGGGAAATGCTCTTGCAATTCATTTACACATATTGCATTGCTAAATAACCACCGTCTCTATCGGAGAGAGGTGCGCAATGATAGTGCGCCCATCATTATCCAGCCACAGAGAGGTCACATCCAGCGTTAGCCAGCTTCCTGGGGGCGCCACGTTGAGTGTCGCGTAAGAGCACAAATCACGGCAGGACTAACCGCAGCGGCAGCCACGTGGAGAAATCAATGCCACTGGTCTGGCAGTGTTAGCAGCATTGTCTTCATAACAACCAATCCGACGTGGGTCAATACCGCCACAGTCTAGGCGCCGTGAGCGAAGCGACGTTCAGTGGCAGCATTCCAGCCCGTGTTGGACAGGCGGCCCTGAGGACCCCGCGCAGTTGGCTTCGCGCCAACTTGAAACTGATGAGCGGAGATAAGCGCCCGCCCTACCTCCTTAGAATTGAATGGCGTCAGATAACAAGCAGGAATCTTAAATTAGCGCAAGTAATTAGGAAAAACGTTGAAGGCTTCGTCTTCGCACCGGATGTCAATGGAATATCATATTCATGGATTCATTATCAGATCCATGAATCATCTGCGGTTTTGCTTTTACTCCGAGCGTGATTCACAGCCAACGGATATTGGGGCTGAATTCCGCAAACATGGCAGCTTCAAAGCCACCACCCGTCCAAGACCACGGAGAAGCGATCTTCTCGCTCAGGAACTTGCAATGACAGAACCGATTTCAGGTAAATAAAGCCGCATGGCTTAGGCATTATTAGGCTTGTGCGGAAGACGTCTAATGGTGTTTAGACGGCTCCTAATAAGGCATTTCTACATTCGCCAAATAGCGAAGTCGCTGAGCGGATTACTATGAAGCACCTGCTCTCGCTTCGCAGAGATGCTGCCTGTGGAAATGCGATGAATATTGCAGTAAGTGGTGTCTCGTGCTTTTATCGGATGGTCACAGATCAGGGTTATGTACCAGGTGGATCGTTCTGGTACGGAAAGTGAGGACCAGCTGCAATGCAACTGCAACGATATCAGGACGCCACGTAGGCTTATCACGTGACATGTAACGTAAGTCGAAGCATGCGTCGGCCGACCACGACGGGTTCGTCATAAAATGCATTACGGAATGATCCTCCGTCTATCAACGTCCGCAGTTGACACATGTTAAGACGTTATGATGTAGGGCGGATTGCGTTATACTCGGCATGTAGCGGCAACGGCAGGTCACCGATTCCACGCAGGCACCGCGTGCGGGTCGCCCCGTCGGTGCTGGAGTTCGGCCGGCTGACCTGCCGTACCGACAGCGTGTGACATGGTCAACGACGCCACTTTGTGGCAATTCGTGACCAGCTTGTGACAACATGACGCAAACTGCACTCCAACACATGATACGCGTCGTTTATTTTCTCCTCAACGACGTTCTCCGCGATACACTCGCCCGCTCCGAACAGCCCAGCCTGCAAAGCACGCTACAGACGGCTGGACTGCCATCAGACAGCGATTCATCGGTCGAAAACGCGCACACGTGGCAAACAACTGCGGCACACCTCATCCACAGGTGATGTTCGCAATGATCGAAGGAACACCGCGGCTGCCCTTCGTGTCCGCCCTCGAACATCCCAGAAGCACCACTGCGCATGCCACCCAGTGGGGCACCTCCTACGCGGCGAGCGCGGACGAGCGAGCGTGTTCGCCGCAGTCTCGCGGGGGGCGGCGCAGCGGCGGCCGCGCTGGACCCGCTGTCGGCGGGTGCCGAGCGCGGCGTGCCGAGCCCGGCGTGGCGAGCGCGGCGTGCCGAGCGCGGCGTGGCGAGCGCGGCGGCGGCTGGCGCTACGAGCGCAGCAGCGCTCCAGCTCAGCCTGGTGGGTCTTCAGCTGGTCGGCCAGCTCGCGGGCGTCCAGCGCCGGGCTGGCGTTCAGGTCGTTGACGTAGGCGGCCATCAGGTCCAGGCAGGTGGTGGCGAAGGCACGTCTGCGGCAGCGGACAGCGCGACGGTCACGAGGCGCAGCCGGGCGGCGGCCCCGGCCCGAGAGGGCGGCGTCATCGGCTGGCTGGCCATACATCCACGCAGGGTAAACAGCGACGTGCACCTGCACGCCAGCAGTTTACGGCTACTTTTCCCGGTTACAAGGACAGCCCCATCGATTTCGCCCGAGAAGAAAGGAACGAGACCTCAGGAGGACGGAACAGGGCGGGGCAGGACGGGGCGTTAGGGTGTGGCGGGTCAGAGCGCAACAGAGCGGGGCGGGGAAGGGGCGGGGTGCGTTGTGGTGACCTGTATCTTTGGACTCTGGCCGGCGACGATAACGAGCGCGCTCAGACCCGACGAGCAGGTCATAGCCCAGATACGGACAGTCGGCGTAGCGCGCGACACGGCAACAGCTGACCGCGCAGACCACCCAGCGGCCGCGGCGTCACGAAGACAGCAGCCGCGCCATGGTTGACTACAACGGCTCCTACACGCTGGTGTCGTCCGACAACTTCGACGAGTTCCTCAAGGCCATGGGCGCCAGCGCGGTGATGCGAACGGCGGCGCAGGTGGGCAAGCCGACCATCCACGTGTCGGTCAGCGGCGACCACTGGAAGCTGCGCCAGACCACCAAGCTGAGCTCCACCAGCATGGAGTTTGACGTGGGCGTGCCGCGCCACCTCAGCGCGCCCGGCGGCGCGTCCGTGACCAGCGTCATCACCAAGGAGCGCGACCGGCTGATCGAAAAGCGCACCGGTGCCGACAAGAACCCGGAGACGGTGCGCGAGTTCACCAGCTCCCAGCTCAAGGTCACGCTCAAAGTGGACGATGTCGTGTGCGTGCGCGTGTTCCAGAAACAGTGACCGGTGTCCGGCTGCATGGATCCGCGCCCAGGCTGAGAATGAAACCAGGCTCATCCTGCCAAAGACTTGCACTATGTCTTAAATCAGAAGCTGATGATGACGGTGACACGCAACCAAACGCATTCAGATGTCTGCCTGGTGGCCTGTTTCAGTCAGCTGGTACTAACAAATCCATATCGAATCGCTGAACCGATCTTCTCCAGCGCACCCCACGCAGCCTGTGCTATGTGTTGAAACATGGCACGTGTACCGACGTGCTGAAAGCATAGTGGTAGGTAAGTAAATACTGACTATTACGTTACATGCAAATATAGAACCGTCCTTACGTAATGTACGTCTACCGATATCCCGCAGAAGATCCCAGGCCAAGCAAGCATAGTGGGGGCGGGCTTTCTCTTCTTAAGCACTCCCCCAATGTGCAAAAACGACAAGCACTCGAGCAAAGGTCCTGCCGACACGCCGAGCCGCGTCTGTGCGCGTCGCAAGCTGCACGGGAGCACGGCCTCCGTGCGCAGAACAACGCCAGTCACCTGCCCACCGCCTCGCGCACTCAGCCGCCCACGTTTTCCCGAAGTGGTCGGCGTGGGCGACTGGCACCTGCCAGGGAGTGAGCACGCTTCGGCCACGCCTCCTTCATAGCCCGCCACGCCCGAGCCCTCGCCGCGTGAGCTGCACCGCCAAGCGACGCCCCTGAGAACGGCGTCCGGCCGCTGGCCGACGCCGACGGGACTGACCGGCGATGACGTCAGCTGGCGACGCGCCCGCACTAAGCGCCGAGAACTTGATAAGCGTCCGGCTGGTGTCAAGTCGCTGCTGAGCACCGCCGCCTTGCCTGTTCTCGTCGGCGTCGAGCGAGCGCAGGGAGGGACGGTGCCACAATCAAACAAGCCAGTCGAGAGTGAGGCGGGCCGGCCGCTCGCAGTTGTCGGCGCTGAGCGAGCACAGGAAGGGACGGTACCCCAGGCGGGACGCCAGCAAGAGTGAGGTGGTCGAGCGGTCTGCAGTCGGCGGCTGAACGGCACGGGGAGGGACGGTACCCTTCAGGCGTGGGACGCCAGCGAGAGTGAGGCAGCCGGCCGCGCGCAGTCGGCGTTGAGTGAGCGCGGGGAGGGGCCGGACCCCATGCAGGGGACGCCAGCAAGAGTGGAGGCGGTCGGCCGCATCGCATGCGGCGTTGAGTGAGCGCGGGGAAGGGGCGGTACCACAGTCAAAAGAAGCCAGCGAGTGAGGCGATCGGCGGTCTGCAGTCGGGGCGTTGATAGGTGAGCGCGGGGGAGGGGGCGGTTACACAGTCCAAAGGAAAGCCAGCGAGTGAGGCGATCGGCGGTCTGCAGTCGGCGTGAGTGAGCGCGGGGAGGGGCGGTACCTCCAGTCAAAGAAAGCCGCGGAGGTGAGGCGATCGGCGGTCTGCCAGTCGGCGTTTGAGTGAGCGCGGGGAGGGGCGGTACCACAGTCAAAGAAGCCAGCGAGAGTGAGGCGGCCGGCCGCGAGCAGTCGGCACCCAGCCTCGACAACGACGCGGGCGTGGTGCTCACCCGGCGCAGGTCACCTGTGGCTTCTGGGGGACGCGGCCGTCACACCACCAAACGCCTCAGCCGTCAGCGGCGGCCAATGGCCCAAGACGGCCGCAGCCACAGCCACCACAGAAGTACACGAGCGAGCTGAACCTGAACCTGCCGCGCCCGTCCATCCTACCAGAGGGCGGCCATCGTGACTAGAAACGTGTCAGAAGGGGCAACCGGCCCACCGAGAAGCACGAGAACGAGGCGGCCCGACGTCGCGCCTCCCTGGGGTCCACTGACGCACAGGTGGCGCTCGTTAACCGGAGGTGGGGGCGTCATGCCCGCGGGAAGCCACAGGATAAAGCCGCCGGCCCATCTGGACAAGGAGCTTGACCGTGCGCGTCCCAGACATGGCCGGAGAGGGAGGGACCAGACAGCAGCCGCCACATACCGCCACCGAGCTTTCCTCCGTAAAGACTCCATGCCGAAGCATATACCCTTCTTGTACGGAATGCTGTAGTTATATTTGTTTATATTCATATTGCATATATATATATATATATATATGCACATATATATATGTATATATATATATATATATATATATATATATATATATATATATATATATATATATATATATGTATTATATATCACCTTCTTTGTCACATCCATGGCGACGCCACCACTACCTGGGAGAGAAGCTGAGACGGAAACACGCTTTTCACTCTCTTGAGATCAGTCTTACGGTGAGCACTGAAAAAACAGCTCTGAACATAAGCCCTGTAGTGAAACCACGACAGTTTATCTTAAAAAGCGTTAAGAACTAGGGTATGGTGCGACGAAAGATGAATGCTTGATTCGGCTCGATGATATCTGGGAAGACCGTATAATTTCGCTGTGCAGCACAAATGCGGAAGAGTGAAGGCGACAGTGCCCTTGGGTTTTAAATGAAGTTTTGCTTAATCTTTTCACTCGTCATTTTGAGCCGGCAGCCTCAAATGTTGAGCGTTGACTATATAAACAATGCTTTGCTTGATAACGTCGTATAACCAGTGCATCCTGTGATATTAAGGGCAAACAAACGTTCAGCACCAGAACACTTAGAGCCATGCAGCGATGGGCACAATTAACGTTGAACTTTCTTGAAAAGTTGACTGAAACAAAGCTTGATCCAAGATATGCCGTCTGCTACCGTTTCTTTCCGGCATTATCAGCTCCGAGTTTGTAAGCTGAGTTACAGACCTCCAATACCGCAGGAGGCACTGGTCAAACGACACCACTTGCGTCCGCTCACCACATTGTGCACACACTGGTAACTTTGCCGGCACCTGGATTTGCAAAGCCGGGCTTGTGCTTATCTCGTTTAAACAGTATCTCCTGGAAGATTAGAAGCGGATACACCAGCATAAGCATGAACTCCTAATGCCTAAACAAGACGGTAACCACCCAAAAAATCGTTGCATTTTAGTCACCTATTTAGTAAACTAAGTCATCTATAAAGTCAGAGCGATCAGACAACCGTCGACATGTTCGTCAACTGGCCCAAAAGCTGCGAGGACCTGAAACTGCTTCATCTCAGCTCTATGCAACGAAATGGTGGAAACGTACCTCACCCCTGCACCAAGCACGGTTGATGCTGCAAACAGGGCAAACTGTTCCAAGAAGCTCCAGTAAACAGTAGGCACCTAGAGTAAGTGGTTAGTAAGAAAAGAGGGTAAGCAGAGAGGTACCTAAATTTTTAACATATCAAGCTGTAATTTTTCTACCTCTTTCAACTCCCCTGCTATATGTGCGTTGGCATGCAATGTGGTTTGGAAAACAATCACATGTAGGCGCACTCAGTGAACAATAGATCATGCAATCAATAGAACTTGGCATATTGAAGTCACCTTAAATTTCAAGAAAATGTAGGCTAGGACCTCACATACCAAGTATTCAACGCCATCCAATTAATGTTTCATGGCTTGAGCTTTGTAGGCAGTCTGGAATTAAAAGACAACCTGCAAATCTTGTGGAATTTCTTTCAGTATCAATCGGGCACAGCCTTCTTTGTGCCGAGCCTTTGCTTTCCGCACGCTACGTTCGAAAACAGGCGGAGACGGGGTGCCAAGCTGGCGGGCCCCAAAAGCTGCACCTCTATGAAGACCACGGGACTCGTCTGCGGGCGCGGCGGCGGTGGCGGCGCGCCGGTGTGTGTGTGCGTGTGTGTGTGTGTGTGTGTGTGTGTGTGTGTGTGTGTGTGTGTGTGTGTGTGTGTGTGTGTGTGTGTGTGCGTGCGTGCGTGCGTGCGTGCGTGCGTGCGTGCGTGCGTGCGTGCGTGCGTGCGTGCGGTGCGTGCGTGCGTGCGTGCGTGTCGGCGCCCCCGGGCCGGACCGGTACCTCTCGCGCGCGGGCACGCCGCTCGGCCAGCGGCTGAAACCAGCCACGATCCGGCAGATGGCGTGCAGCAGGTGCAGGGGACTCTCCCTCCCACGCGTCGTCCTTCTGCCGGTACAGCCTGACCTGCAACACACCGACACGTACGCCGTCACGCGGCCGCGCTGCACGGCACACCGGGGTCCAGTCAGCCCCGCCAGTGGAGCACACCACACCACACACACACCACACACGTGACACGTGACAGGGGGTTGGCGACCTTCTCGGACTGCTCGGCACGCCCAGCGCCGATACCGCAGCGCACCTGAGACGCGTACCCAGATTGAAGCCAACCACACAGCTTATGATCGTGATACTGGTTGGGGTTTTAGGGCGTGCAGGCTACTAAGGTCATCTTGCGCCCACTGACCACACAGCTTATGATCGTGATACTGATTGGAGTTTTAGGGAGTGCAGGGCTACTAAGGTCATCTTGCGCCCATGACCACACAGCGCTCGACTGTGCGTGCGTGCGTGGCGTGCGTGGCGTGCGTGCGTGCGTGCGTGCGTGCGCGCGCGCGTGCGGCCCGACGCACCTGATAGACCGCAAGCAGCTGCGGCAGCGGCACAGCCGGCCTGGGCCAGCGCGGCGGCTGCCCAGCCGGGCGAGGGGTCCCTCCAGTAGCGGCACGAGTGCACCTCCAGCTCGTGCACGATCGTCTCCAGCGGGAAGTAGGCCGGCTGGCCGCTGTAGGTGCGCGCCAGCTCGACGACGGCGGGCGCGGCCGCCTCGGCCTCGGCAGCGCCGGCCGCCTTCAGCTCGGCGCGTAGCAGGCCGGTCCAGAGGGCGCGCACCAGCGCCGGGTCGCGGTGGCCGGCGCACACCACCACCGCCAGCTGGCCGCGGTGCAGGCCCAGCTGGCTGCACATCTCGTACAGCGCCGTCACGTCCAGCAGGCCGGCGTTCAGCGCCTTCGACTCGGCCGCGCGGCCGCGCACCGCCTCCAGCACCATGCGCTGCACGCGCGCCACCTACGCCGCCGGCGCACGGTCAGACACAAGCCATGGAGCTGGCGACACGCCGGCCGCTCACCAGTCGCACGTGTACAGCTGACACCCCTGGTCTTCCTATACATAAATGTGTAAGTTTTCATGGCTTCATCATTATAACATTTATACGATATAATGTATAGCCTTTTTAATTACGA